GATTTAATCATATTCCGCAATCAGTGGCACTTGGACTGTTTCACCCCAACACCAGACCGTTTGATTACCAGCTTGTACGTTTTGTAATGCTCTTGTTGTTACGTCCAGTCCATCCGTGTGCTGATGGCACTCCTGCTGCAAAATCGAAGTTCACTGGGCCTACCTAAGACTCACAGCTGTAAACAAGTTGTGGTTTCTCGCTCGGTTTAGTTGAGCCAAGGGCATGTCCCTTGTTGCGGCTGAGCCATCCGACCGATCGTTAAATGAACCTTATCAGTAGTTTGATCTTCGGACCAACAGAGGAGGAGGATAGGCTCCGAATCCGATGCTGCCTAAATGTTGATAGAGGATCACAAGAGAAGGTATTCGAGAACACCACACCAGTTGGCTTAGTCGCGGATTGACGAGGACGGGGGTATGGCAATCACGGCTCATTTGGTCGGAACATCGTGTCAGAATGAATGAAGCGGTCAGGCCGATTTACACGATCACCTGGGTGAGTTCGAAGCAGAGCAACTATCGCTTACTGTCAACAGCGATTCCGTTGAACCACTCCCACCTTGGGTGTTCAGTCCTCAATGATTTACCTGAGTTTGTTCGTAGGAATACGGTGGTTGTATGTGACAGCGCCCTGTCATTTCGGTCTGGAGGCGGTGCCTGATGAGCTTGTACATTCCGATACCATATTGCTGCTCCTTGCGCCTTATTCTCCAGCACTAAACCCAATTAAAGGTGTCTGGAGTGTGATCAAGCACGGTGCCAAGCAAAGCATGCAATACGGGGTCGTACTTGCGGGGGATCCATCTGGTTCCTTATCTGCGAGATAATGGCGGATGCAGTGCAGTGATGAGACTGCCAAAATGTCAGTAAACCCAGATATGTGCTCCAATATGATTCAACATGTATCTGTGATTTACTCGAAAATGCTCAATTGTGAAGACATTTAAATAAAACATGATCATTTTTTCATTGGGAAATTCCCCTTTTTCGCCACGATCATTTGGGTCAACTGTGTGGAAAGTGGAGGGGCTGCGAGTCAGACATTTATGCATGTTATGCGTCACCTAATGACTGTCAGTTTTCAGGAGTCTGAAATGAAAGTAATGAATCACTTGTACTGTATTTATATCGGTAGAGAATTTAGGCGTACAGAGTTGTAAAATGATTATTGCAACGTTTCAATCCGAACTGGGACTCGTTGTCAAACGTAAATGAAATCAATGAGATATTGGGATAAACATCTTTCCGGGCGCCTGTCTGATGTTTACGCGTCTATAGGTCCACTAATCGTCACAGGTTTGCGAGTGAGACTTATGTTTGTCTCTACGAGTAGGTTTAATCAATTGAACGAGTGTAGAGCTTCAAGCATTAATCGTTCCCCCTTTTTTCGTAGCTCGCGTTACNCCACCTTTTACTTATCGATCGCGATCTCGTGACCTGTCGTGTGCAGTCGTTCCAGAATTGTGATCTCGGGTCATCACGTCCGATGGTAGGCTGATTTTCATTTAGGTGAGGGTGTAGTTGTTTGCCTGTCTCAACTAAGTCGTCTTGATTGCTGTCCAGGCACGCGTAGATTGTCCCTGATCGTTCGTACTGTTTGACTAGATCCTTATCGTAAAATAATAAATACCAGCGATGCATTAGAAAAAAATTAAAATGCGAAGACATTTCTCTTCGATATATCGCTTCAGTCATTTACGTAAATAGTTCGATCCATCAGTAGAATAATACAAGGCCACGGCTGAAGTAATTTTCAATCTATGCTGTCCTATGGAAACAGTTTTGTTCACACTAGCAGAATTTGCTCTCCGTGGCTAAAAGCACTTAGAGGACAAAAAGAATTAGCGTTCAAGTTACATCCAACAGCCACTGTCAAACAACTTTACACTGTAAATCAGGGCAGAGATCAACAGATTGGATGCTTCATTCGCAAAACAAGTTCTCGGAGCTGAAGATGGAATACGGCTATGGCAAGGGCTCAGACTGAATACTTCTAAATGTTTTGAATGCATTTTTAGA